AAAAAAAAAAAAAAAAAAAATTCTTGTGATGACAGTTCTACAATGCGGTTTACCAAATTCATCGCATAGTCTTGAAATCGGCTCAGATTAAAAGCTTTTCCGGCACTTTTAAACTGGACTCACGGTGCTACATTCAATAACGATGAAAACATGAAAAATTTGCATGACAACTGTTTCGACAGTAATTTTTACAAAAAAAAAAAAAAAAACACACTGGCTGTACCCGGAGGAACAGTTTATACGTATAACACCATGGAGAATAAATCACCCACTAATTTGCAGTCCCCTTTACAGAAACGCAAATTTCATCAGTCAACCTTCCTGCCGCCTCCCCCCCCCCGCCTATTTCTCCCTCTGCCTAGCCATTCTCCCGTGATCAGCGGGGGCATCCGAAAGTGTTTTCGCGGGGTGGAAAGTGCCAACAACTCATTCCACAACCCAGTATTCAGTACCTGCGGACAAACGACGAAATGGTTAAAAATAAAACTTACAACCATGCATTTGAATAATTCTTAATTCCCGTGACAATCGCATTGTAACGCTGCAAATCGCCAACCGAAACTGCCATCCTTTGCAGTGATAAGAGCGCAACCTGGAAATACTCACTCGTAAAATATGTTTGAAAAATCAATTAAATATTAAGATTTTAAAAATCAACAAGTTTTTTTCAACAAAGTGTGTTCCAAGGAAATATGTTGCAAGAAAATTTTTTCATTCCATTTTTTGTCCTCTCATACAGACGGGCGTAGCACAATGAGAAGAAGTACCACTGTTGTCGCTGTAGAAAGTTCTAGCCCGCTAGCGAGAAAACCAATCCGTCAATGATTGGTTCATTCGTTTCGAGGGTAAATTGGTACAAGCGTACGCCAGGACGTCAACTCGAAGGAGGGAACCATCGGTAAGATATGTAATGGCCCGTGAAAAGCCGAAGTGGCATAAGAGGACTGTCCAAGTGAAACGACCGAAGTGGGCTGAACTGATGAAAAGTTTGCGGCCTTTGGTAAGCCGAACCAATAATTTCTGAAGTAAAACGGCTAGTCCGAACGTGAAAAATGTGGAATGGCCATAACGCATATGGATTTTAATGCAGGGCGGAATTAGTGAATAGATTATGATGAGAAAGATAGTAGGGGCTGCTAATGTGGTACAAACCGTGTGAAATATGTTGAAAAGTCATGTAAAGAAGAATGTGCAGAAATTGTTCTGCCTGTAACTCTTATCAAAAATTGGATGAATGCTGTTGGTATTTGCTACCACTCCGGCTATTTCCGAAGTATCTGTGCTTTTCACATGCAGTGAATAGGACGGACAATTGACTATTAACTATGATGTACACTCATATGTCATATAAAATACCTTCTGTGCAAGCTTTAGTAAATTTAATGTGTACAATACTAATGAAAAATATACCGAAATAAATTCAACAGTAAACTGCACAAAAAATAGTTAGTTGTGCTAAAAATAAATTTTTAGTTTATAAAAAGTAAATTGCAGTAAAGAGCATACTTTGATTACAGGGTCAGCTGCTTCATGTGCTCCCGAATCAACAAGAACGCATCCCAAAAAATCGTCCGCCGGTAGACCCGTTTGCCAGTACAAATAATCTTCGATGAGAAATTCAAATACCATCTCATATTTGTTAAACAGGCGTGCATAAAAATCCAAACCCTAAAAAATTTCAGGAGTTTGAGACCCATTAATTCTGTAAATTATTGCAAAATAATTACAACAGGTCCTGCTTATATCTGTACTCAGTTTTCGAAAATGCGTCACCGTATTCGGATTTTCGCCTAAGATTTAAAAAAAAAAAAGCTCCAGGTGGAATTCCAATCAACGACAAAGCTCAGGTTTCAGAATTCCAATCTAAAAAAAACAAAGCACCAATAAAAAACAAAGCACCAACAAAGCACCAATAAGCAACCACAGGTCTAGAATTAATAAAAACTGGAGTTAAAAAAAACCTGATGAATAAGTTTAATTAAGCTTGAGCGAAAAACACGTGATGCATCATCGACGGAATTGCTTGCAGCTCGAAGCGCCTCAATGGATGTGTGGAAGCACTGTTTCCAGAGATGCTGTTCCAGATTCATCGTATATGTATAGCTGATATCTCTTGGTACAATTTGTAAATACAGTTTCGACAATGTATTACTGAAATTTAAAGTTTTTTTTTTCTTTTTTTTTCAACAAAAACTACCTCTTTATAAATCCCACAAAAATTCGACGTTATAAAATGGAAAAAAAAAAGAACCAACCTAACTAGCAAAATTTCTTCGCCAGCACTCAGATCAGCAGATTCGGTGATCCGTTCGATCAACTGATTGAGCTTATCATTCAGTGCCTCGATTTCTGGTCCTTCGCTTTTCGAAATTTCCACATGTATTGGCCATTCGGTTGGCGGTAAATCTTTGCGAAACTTATTGCTCTTATTGTTCGATTTTTTCAACGCGCCTTCTAAAAATGACCTGTTTTACTGCGATATTCATGTGCAGTAGCTGCATTTTCAGACAGAATTAAAGGGTTAACATTTTGTTTACGTGCACACAGCAAACTGCCAATTTCGCAGCAAAAAGAAACTATAAAAGACAGCATTCCACGAAAAGTCGAAAATTAAGAAAATTAAAAAACTCGTAAAGCACCAGAAATTTCAAAATTTTTCCCCAATTAAAAACAACAGCTATTGCAGTGATGCGCTACTGTAAGAAGAATATAAACAAAATCACAATTTCTTACTAACCGGAAGCAACATCGGGCGAAGGAGTTCTTCGTTCAGCAGAGTTTTGTGATGTCCGCTCGACATGTTCTAACTGAGGAGGTTTTTTCAGCATCGCTTTTGTGATGGCACTTGCTTGAGGAGGGCTGGCTACTGAAGAAGCTGTTGGTGCTGTTGTTCGAACTATTGATGCTGTTGCACTGCAAGTGTAGGTACATGTTTTGAATAAAATTTAAAAAGCCCAGAATCCTCATATTTTATGAGCAATCTTACGCCATAGCATATCCACAAGCTCGTTTTACCTATCTAACGGTTGTAAATTCAAATTACCCAAAAAATGTTGCAACTCCAACTTTTTATGCGTTTTGTGCTGTGTAGCAGCAGTACAAAACGCATATTGTTACGGGGTTGTCTGTGTG